TGGGTCATGAATGAAATAGATTCCGCTAGTTGGTGTCCACATTCTTTTTACTGTTAAGATTTCACAAGCTCGGATATGTGGCCCACATCACTATTACTAACATATTGTCTTCAAATATTGATCTCGATGTTTTTAGTAGTGGAGCAATTCATTATTTGTTATATGTTATTAGAAGTAAAATCACTCTTTAGTGAGTCACACATGCAACCAATTCCACATCTCTACTTCTTTAGTGAGTCAAGGTTTCAATATGTAAATTTGAATTTCAATTCAAGTCAATTTGGGGTTTTTCTGTTTCAAGTTCAATCGGATCGAGTAAACTGACCCACTCTAATACTATGTTAAGATTTTAGAGGGACAAATCCAAAGCTTATTACTACCAGCATCAATGCTCTGGATAGTGAACCATTTATTACATATTGTATTTTATTTTATCAAGTTTCCTCTGTGGCACTTCATATTGTTCAGCATCTAGCTTATTTGTTGTCCTGATCTTTTTAAATCCAGTATCTATGCATTGTGCCAAAGCAGCCCGTCATCAAGAAGAAACTCTGGAAGGGAGTTGAAATATAATTCCAGGTCTAAAAACGGAACCTGTAATTCAATTCGTTGTATAAAATTAATTTTTTTTTGCAATAAACACGCGAATATATAATATCAAATATGAAACAATCAAACTACGAAATATTTTGGCAGTCCTATGAAATATAACTACAATTAAACTATGAAATGTTTTGGGGGCTTTCCAAACACGAATTTTGAATTTCTTGTCCACCTTGGTGCACCATCCTCGTGGTCGGCCGCAGCGGCGTCGTCGTCATGTTATTCATAACGTTGGCATTGGATTTGGTGTGGCTGCAGCATGGCTGATAGGATGTGCTGCCTAGAGTCACAGTCTTGAGCGCTTGTTCTTGTATAATTTTCATTAAGAAGCTGAAGAGCCTGTGGAAAATTCCTGGTGATAATAAGGATTGGCTTTCTCTTGCATCCATTCTCCAAAAATCTTCTCTGGAACCAGGGGTTGCTTTGCTTATGTGATTATATGCTAGCCAGTAACTTGGCGCTTGAGAAACTGAGGCTTCAACCCTTTATATAGGGAGAGTTACACAACTGAATAAGTAGTAGCTTAGAAGGGAAGTTTCACATGACTTTGTATATTGTTTTGCCGGATGCTTGTCAGTGAAAAACTGCGAAAGACATCTAGTTACATCTCATTCACAGAAGAAAACAAAGCACAATTTCTTCCCTAACCAGATCAGGAAAAAGGAAAGTTACAAATTTGTTACCCTTTACTAATTTCAATTCTAGCGTAAGCCAGAAACCTAATCAGAACAGGAAAAGCAAAAGTTACAAATTTCGAAAATTCCCTACAAATTTAAATCAATGTTTTGATCTAGTAAGCAACATTTGTTAGTTGATTAATTGTGGCCTATATTTGGATTAACCCTATGTGGTTACTGTGCTTCCATATTTGTATTACCCCTTTGTAGGCATTTGTATTTGTCATTGTGGCTTATGGTCTTTGTGCCTAATTTATGAATACAATTATCGCTTTTGTATAAATAAATAAAAAGTTTCTCTATATGGATATAGGAAACATAGAATCACAATCCCTTAACTTGCAAGACAAACTTTACAAACAAAGTGACTTTAGAATTTGGCAGAGGGACAGTGGCATATCCAATATCTATCCAATAACTGTCCTCATATGCCGATTTTACACCAAGTTGTTAGATGCTTTTGGGGACATATTCTTTCCTTTTCTTGCAAGAAAGAAATTCTTAAACCCCAAAGTTTCACCACTAACTTTTATCATAATTAAACTTTTGCAAGGAAAACAAAAAACTTTATCATATTCACAACCATATCCGATATAAGGAAATTCTCCAATAAGTATTTAAGTTAAGGAGTGGTTACATATTTCTAATCTCGACCATTGAATTAAATTCATTAAATGTGTTGGTAGATTTAATATGCAACACACGTGCAATCCAACTATCTATGTTAAAAATATGTAACCAATCATTAACATAAAATACTTATTGGAGAATCTCTCATCAGGTATATGTACACAATAGATGATTATATCTGATTCAACTTGTATAATTCAATTATGTTTGCCTGTGCTAGCTAGTTGAAGAACTGTAGCATGAGCGCATTTGGTTACATTGTATATTTACACTTACAAGTTACAACAGAGAGAAGTAACACAACCCTATAAGGCCTTGAGTTGATGTAGTTAAGATTCACAAATATGTGCCATCTTCTTGCTCAAACCAGAACCAACCTTCAGAATTGATCTTAAAGGTTTTTGTTTTAGCTCCTCTTTTTCTAGCTCTAACCAGTTCAACTTTTCAAACGATTTGCTCCTTCGTCTTAACTTCATAGCTTTCTCCATATCCTCTACCCTGTCACATATGCTAACCGTTTTCTTTGGAGGTTTTGCTTGCTGTGCAATTGTTGCTGCTTCATGTGTTTCCTCTTCTGGTGTCCTTCCTGCATTACCATAGAAACCATTGTCCACATCAGCATGGTCAGCTGAACAACCAAGGGAGAAAGAGGGGGCTAACTTGTCTGAAGTATTGTTACCCGAAGTTTTTTGAGGCATTGATTCATCGTGCAGTTGGGCTAAGCCTTGCTTCATTGGAGGGCCTAAAGTGACAGTCTTGACGGTTTGATAGGCTAGGCTTCTCGAGATGATGTTGTAGAGCCTTCGGCAAATGCTCAGAGATTGAAAATGTTGTTCTCTCCCATCCATTTGTTGATTTCTTTCTTTGTCCCTTACAATAATTGTTTAGTGTGCAATATGAATGCAAACTGGAGAGACCATGGTTTGGAATTCTGGATGAATGGTTTGCTTTTGTGGATACCATTCTTACTGGTTGTAATTTGAAACTTTGAAGTAAGGTATTCTATGTTTCTTAAAAACAGAGATAACAAATCCTTTCTTTTTTTCTTTTTCTTTTTGAAAAATTGAGAAACTTAATGGAATGAAAGAATGCCAAAAATGGCATTGTCCTTGTCGAAAGTTATTCTGAAACTCAATGAAGCACAACATAATACCTAAGGAAGGCATTTTAATTGTCGAGTTGAGAGAAAGAAGAAGAAATTGGCAATTTGCCGATTGGTCCTTTTGCAGTTGAGGACATAAGAACATCTCCAGAGGATATTTTTGCGCTTGGATTAGCACAGAGAGAGAGAGAGAGAGAGAGAGAGAGAGAGAGAGAAGAAAACTGTTTAAAAATGGGTTTTATCAATCAATCACGAATTATGAGCTTTAGACTCACAAATTGTTTTTGAGTTAAAACAGATGGATCCAAGTAGAATAACAAGCATGAGCTTATTCTCCCAATGGTCAATTGGTATTGTCCACATGTGCCCCGAGAGCCATAACCTTCAATTATATAAAACCAATCAACTATTTTGGTAACAATTAACATCAACATAATGGAATTACCATACATGATCTTTAAATGGTAATTTAGAAAGCAAACGGTTTCGATTATGACACGTGTATTAAAGAAAAATTCATTGATCACAATATACTAGATTGTCATTTTTCAGATTTACCCTTTTTTTGGGTCAAAAGATTTATTCATTTATGCAGACCTACTTTGAGGATCAAGATACATATAAAATGAAAAAAGTATTATCAAAGTAGGCAATCCAATGCAACCATTAGAAAATAAAAAACATTAGGTGACAAATGGAGTGTGTTTAATCTTTAATTCCAAGACAAGTCATATGCTTAATGTATAAATTATGCATAGAAAAGTAAAAAGGATGATGAATATTGCGACAAAAATGGTTTGTATTTAATGCAACCCAACAATGTTTGGTTTGGTCATTTTATTTTTTTTACTCAATGAAGTGCTATGTATAATAATTTTCATTAATCACGGGACTAATACAAGAGGATGGGCGAATGCGAATTGAAAGTGAGGACGCGCGCCAAGTCCAAGGTGAAGGCAATTAAGCAAGCCAGTCCAGTCCACTAATAACTCATAAATTCTAGATTATAAGTTCAAATACAAAAGGAAACGACATCGTATGAAGAAGAAAACCTTCCCATCCATAAAGAGCGCCTGATCTCTCACATGATAAAACATTAAATTAACCCTCGGCCCCTCAGAGTCAGAGTCCCGGACGAGAGTGAGAGCAGATCTGAGAAAATGAGGGATGAGAAACAGAGAGGTGGTCTGGAAACCCTAACAATGGCATTGGCTCTGTGATCGGAGCCTTCGTTGGAGATCAGAGACATGAGCGTGAAGAAAGAGAGAGACGACGGGGCATGAAGAAAAGCTCCTCCAATGCGATTCTTGTTTTGCGAGGTTTAACGCCTCGATGGCCGCCATTGATCCACGATCGGATCCGTTCAAGAGCTCACTGTTGAAATCGTGTAGTAATTAACACCAAGACCAGAGATCTGATGGGGCTAGGTATGGGGTTTCCAGGACCCGTCAAAGTTGATTTTGAAATTTAGGGTTTACTTAGGTTTATGTTTACGGAGATCATTGTTTTTTATTTGATGGAGCGACATGGCTGGGGAATTAATTAGTAGGTCGGGGTTTAATTCAATGCATTAATGCGTTCGCTGTTTGCTTCCATTCCAGGTACATTCCCTGTCAGCTTGCTCAAGATGCGATAGAGTGCGATGTGGATTGATAGGCACTGACAGCGGGCCTTCCCTTATCTTTAAGGTTTTACTCCTTTCTCATTCAGCATGTGGATGTATGTTGTTCTTTTGTAAGATATCATTTTTTGTTTTTAAATGGAAACAAAATAAGTTTCCAGAGGTAAATAGCATACTATTGTTGAAAACTTGAACGATATATCTGACAAAAACAAAATTGGCACACATTATGGGAGCGCTTTGAAATAGCATATTTTTGTTGAATGATATATTCTGATATGAGGGAGTGGGGTTCGGTACCTTACATATGGAATCGGGAACATTGTGACATTACATCAGTGATACACGGTGGCGTGGTGAATTTAAAAGTAAGCATTTGTAGCAATATCGGATGGTCTAATAACCATGTATAACTAGACTGTTCGACAACTTGATGTTCCGACAAAAAGAGAACATCAGATGATGGGGTTTCTCTAACTTTCAATGTAACATGAGGTTAAAGACATTAGAAAGTGAAAAATCATAAATGGGTTAGTGCATTATTCAAATATTGTCGTACAAAATGTTCTAGGCAATATCAGTAATCTGAGTGTTTTAATTGGACTCTCTCCTTCTCAACTTTTCAAGTTAGGATGAGATTGCAAGGAGTCTCAGAAGTTCTCAGTATTTTCTTTTGCATCTATGCACCCAAGCAATGTTTATAGGTTATTACCATGGAAATAAAATTTGAAGCAGTAAATTTCATAGAACTAAAATTTATCTGCCCACATTGTCAAATATATATCGACGATAGATTGGCAGTTATAAATTTAGAAGCCTATTCACTCTCTCTCTCTCTGGTGTTCTGTTATATTTCCTAGTTATAGTTGGTACATATCAATATTAATTTGATATAATTTCTCATTGTAGCTGTTTATCATTCATTTTTTTGTTATCTGTTGACTATACTGTTGGATTGTGTAAAAGCTGGAAGATATATAACATATATAATTTCTATGTTAATTGTATTTCCGTGTATTGGCAGGTATTCTTTTTGGTAGTAAAATGTTGTTTAAAATGAAGTTATGAATGGACAAATATAGTAATAGAGTATTTTAAAATGTTTCTTCAGGATGTTGTGTTCTGGTTTGCGATCTTTAACATTCAGTGGTTATCCCACACCAAATAAAAGAACCTGTTGTTCTTTGTTCTTTGTTCTTTTTATTATTGACATAACGAACTGTTCTTCCTATCTTTCCCACTTGTTGCATTTTAACTTTAATTTATTATTATTATTATATGGTTTTTGGGATATGCTTTTATATTACTACCGTTCAAGTTTGTCCACAATTTAAAGACATTATTCGTTCCTGAAATGCCAGCGCTGGAGTCTGTTACTGTTAGCTTTTTATTTTGTAGGTAATTTTTGAGTATTGATGTTTCTTCTAGAGACATGCAATGATGTTTTTTGTTAGCTCGTTTCGTTAGTGTGACGCTTTCTTATGTTTGTTTGTTGTGTCGTACACTTGCACGTTCAGTAGTTCTGCTTCGGTTCAACTTATTATTTTGCACACTGACCATCTGGTTTATTTCAGTCTTATTCTAATTGTTATTATTTCTGATGGTTCTAATTGTTTTATTAATTGTTTAACTGTTTTTTTTTCCCAGGATATCTAAAACCAGAGGCTACCAGGATTTCGCCTCAAATGTCCGTTTTGTTTTTTTGAGTGCGGCGGATTGTAGTTATTACTTGTATTGTATACATGGTTTTCTTTTTCTTTTGATAGCCACTTGGAACATAGATTAGGCCCAAAGATTTGTTGGATCGATGATTGCGACCCGCAATACTAAATTCGGCGTCGTCAAGTTTAAGGTTATATTATAAACGACCAAATAGGACCACTTAAAGGCCCATGAAAGACAAAATAGGCCCAATGAATGAGCCACAAACGATCCAACCCGCAATACTAAATTCGGCGTCGTCAAGTTTAAGGTTATATTATAAACGACCAAACAGGACCACTTAAAGGCCCATGAAAGACAAAATTGGCCCAATGAATGAGCCACAAACGATCAGAATGACCCACTGGAAAGCCCATAAAAGGCCCAATGAGGGATCGATAAATTACAAAATTGGCCCGACGGATTTCACTAAACGACAAAGTAGGCCCAATGAAGGGCCACTGAACTACAAAATAGGCCCGACGGACTGTCACTAAATGACAAAGTAGGCCCAATGAAGGACTACTAAACGACAAAGTAATCCCCAAGAAGAGCCACTAGCCGACAAAAAAGGCCCAATAAAATTCACTAAACGACAGGATAGGCCCAATAACGGCACACTAAACGACAAAAAAGGCCCATTCAGTGTCACTAAACGACAAAAAGTGGCCCAATGAAGAACTGCAAAAAAGACAAAATAGGCCCAATGAAAAATACTAAACGACAAAATAGGCCCAAGAAGGGACCATAAACGACAAAATAGGCCCAAAAGAAGAACAATAAAAGACAAAATAGACCCAAAAGGAGGGACAATAAACGACAAAATAGGTCCCAAAGAAGGACAATAAACGACAAAATAGGCCCATTAATATCCATAAACGACAAAATAGGCCCAACTAAGCGAAAATGCTTATTTTGTCGTTTAGTGACCTTAATCGGGCCTATTTTGTCGTTTTCGAGCACTTTAATGGGCCTATTTTGTCGTTTAGTGACCTCCATTGGGCCTATTTTGTCGTTTATTGAGTCTTAATTGGGCCTATTTTGTCGTTTACGATTCTTTACTGGGCCTATTTTGTCTTTTAGTGTACCCTCATTGGGCCAAGTTTGTCTTTTAGTGTGCCATCATTGGGCCCATTTTGTACCTTACGGGGCCGATTTTGTCTTTTAATCAGTCTTCCTTGGGCATATTTTGTCGTTTAGTGTCCATTAATCGGCCCATTTTGTTGTTTCCGTACCTTTCATTGGGCCTAGTTTGTCATTTTTGAGCATTCAGTGGGCCTATTTTGTCATGTACGAGACCTTTAGGGGCCTATTTTGTCGTCAATGGCCTGTGCAGCGGAATTACATCGTTCATGGGCCTTTGTTTGGGCCGACTTCAACGTTTATGGGCCATAAATGGGCAAATGTCGAAGCTATTAGGGCACGTTCACTGTTATGGGGTTGCTTCGAACGGTTAAGGGGCAAATACTTTCTCGGACCGAACACGTAAGCCCATAATTTATAATGGTGCGGGTCCAGAAATTCCAAAATCATAACAAAACAAGGCCCAACCATTGAGCGACCAACTATTGTGGTTATTGGGCCCAACCCGTGAAAATGCATTTCAGCAAACCATACGCAGATTATAATTTCCATCCAATAACAAAAATTAGACCTATTGACTAAATATAACATCTAATAGGAAGTGGATCCATGCACAGAAAAAAGAAACAACAAATAAATCGCCCAGCAATCTTTAATTCTATTTGAAGAAATTTGACATCAAACTGAGGATATGACCATGATTCTGCAACTTCACATATCACTGCAAGGGCAAAGTCAGTTTACAAGTCCGACAATGTTAAAAAAGGAAAACGGATAACCCTCAGTCAGTTAGAAAACAGTCTATTGACATCATGGTGCAGTGACTCTCTGCTGTACAACTATGAATTAATCCAGTGCTGCAAAAGACGATTTTGAGAGTTAGGAAATTAATAAAATATATTACTATAAATTCATATTATGCAATCAACTAAGGTTTGACATCACATATGAAACCGGATGTTTGAGCATTCACACAGACACACAAAAGAAGACCACCACAGATACGGATCTCTGCAGATCACGAAAGTCAGCAGTGTCCATTTAGTAATACAGTCCTAAAGATGAGTGGTAAAATTCTATCATATAGAAGGTTTAACATAATTTGTGATTGGAGAGAGTTCAAGGTCATTAAAAATAAATCAAACCCAGATTGCAGATTGGGTGTGTCCAAGACCCCATGAAGAATTCCTTGCTATATTTTGGAGCCTGCAATGCAAAGAGACCAGCGTTTTTTTGTCATTCGTATGAATTTTGAAAATTACGCTTCCATCAAATCATACTTGTCCCTGTGTTGTGGCGCCACTTGTAAAGCAGGTAGGGATGGGCAATGGGCAATGGGCAATGGGTTACCCATTACCCATTGGCGCCACATAAGATAGGATCTATTTGAATAACTCAAATCCATGAGTAGCCTTGCTCTCCACTCCTACAAATTAAAAAAAAACATGGTACTAAAAGCCATACAATAGACATCATATTCTGAGGACACATTTTTGCAATCGAAGGATCATATTTCTTTTATAAGTAGCCTTTTAAATATCATCTTAAGCATATTTCAAATCAAGCTAACGAAATAAAGACACAAGCAAGCACAATAATGATTGTGTGCGTAAAAAGTATGGAACAACATCCAAGAGATATTCACACTTACATGCCCAATCATACAAATAAAAACACATGCAGGATTAGCCCACCAAAGTCACACCCAACAGATATAGAACAGATCTACATATGCCTTTATGGACTAGAGATTTACTCTTCTACTTTGTACCCTTTTTGTGGATAAGTAACTACATTTTCTGCTACTGAATAACAGAAGCTCACCGCTACAAGGAAGAATGTCACATTCTTCTTGAAAAAGAATCAGTATTTGAGTAGCAGGAAAGTAAGACTTGCTTACTGATTCAGTAGGATAATCATTTGGTGTGTAACACAACTGCAATTGCTTGGCCACCCCTGCAAGTTAAAGGCATTTCATGACATTAAAGCCAAAGATATAACATGCTAGATCCACAAATCTAGATTAGTATAATGAACTTTCCACAGCTAATAAGGCTACATACACAGCAAGTGTTCCATCTGGTAGAAGCTCCCCCTCTGCGTCAATTTCTGCCAATGTTTTCCGAAGAGTTGATACATTATGTGTGTTATGCAGTTAAGGAACATGACTATTTATGAATTTTGTAAAGTAGCGTTTTAGCAAAGATATAAGCTTATATAACTATAACTATACATTTTCCTAGAGATACCACTTCCTCCAACATAAAGCTTGTTGTAAGGTAAAAAGGATATATTTCTTTCAATGGAGCAGAATGCCAGTGTTGGTCATACATGTTGCGTTCATCAGCCTGAACCACGAACATGACTACCGCCCTGCACATATATTTGGAGTTAACCATACCTTTATTCACTTCGCTGAAAGTGGCAGCAGCAGAAGGAACAAATGAGACATTGTGTCAGCTCTAACCTTGGGTTATTGAATTCCATCCAAGCTTTAGCCAAAGCCTCTACAAACTGACTGGCCGCAGGATTATTAGGAATTTGGAATCCAATCCAAGAAATTCTCCATAGTGGTTGAGTAAGCTCCTGGAAAATGAGAAGCTAAGGGTAAAAATACTTGGTAACCTTATTATGCTTAATTTTTTAGCATTGGATATGAGAATATCAACAGATATACACACATACAAATAAATATCAACATGGTTTGGAAGAATATAATGAAAACCTATGTGGCTAAGTATAGAAATTTCATAGGATACTTCTTCCAATTGCAATCGTTTAACTTCGAAGGAAAGACCTGGACCCACCACACCCTGAACCTTTACTAGTTGAACCAACGGTCAAAAGATTGTTTTGGAAATTGATAATCGAGACCTTTATGCATCCAAGATTCAAAATATGATTGATTTCTATATTTGAAAAGCACAAAGTTTAACTAATAAAAATGGATAAAGTTGGAAATATAAACAGAAAAATAGAAAAGGAAAACTCATTAGTGCTCTCCTTTTTCACCACCAATTTCTTGTCCTCAAAATATGGGAAGATATGAAGTTGGTGATCAGAAGAACGCTCTCTGCTCTATGTGATCCCAAATCTTTAAAAAATGCATCTGGTGCACATCTACATTGAAGAACCCTAATTCGACTCCACTCCATAAACTTCATTTATTGTTTAAATGCTATTATTTCTACAACTACTAGATTTAGAGCCAATCAGGTATCACCGCGTGTAGTGAAACCCTAAGCGTTCTTCTATCACGCAAAGGAACCCTAGATTTAATACAAGAAAAATGTGTGAACAGAAGAATAGGGCACCATCGAGATCTCGTACATTCTCGATGTGTTTCCCTAAGCAAAAACCCATCCTCTTCAGATCTAAATACAAAAACCTAGAATTAATACAGGAAAAATGTGCGAACAAAAAGATCGGGTAACGGCGCTCACCCCTCTGGACGACATCGTAGAGATCTCGTGAGTGTATCGTCTCCATTGACGGTGGCTTGCAAAGCCGCTTCGTTCTCCTTTGCCATCGAAAAGCCCTAAACCCAAACGATGCTAGTAATTCTCAGGAAGCTAGCATCGTCGTCATAGTTGCGAAAGTTAAAATGAATTCCTAGAAAAAGACAGGCGCACAATTTTCTCTAGCAAATCATAAACTCGGGCCTTGAATTTCTAGAGAGATGTTAACCTTGGGCCTTGATTGTCTGAAGAAACCCTAGCCCCTCGGCCTTGATTGGAAAACCACAATACATAGTAGAATGAGGCCACGGAGTCGGCCTTATGAATAGCCCAAGGCGGGTCCGGCTACTTATAGTACTTTTACCGTGGTGAAAAGACCTTCTTATCCTTGATGTTTTAGACTGAAATGAAGACGTGTCCATTTGTCAAGTGTTTTCTTTCTTAACAAATCAAAAGCAATAATTTTTTTTTCCTTTTAACCAATTATTGTTTACTTTATTAAATGCAAAAGAAATATTGGGTGAAATGAGAAAATGTATTGTTTTGTACATCAAATTCCCATGTCAGCTATCAAATTTCAATTTGATGTTTTACATTTGACATTTCCCTTTGGAGAGAGCTGCGTGCTCGTCATGCTGCAATGTGAGATCAAATGAGCTCCTTGCAAATTCTTGGAAGGCAAAAGGACAGTTTCTGAAGAATTGCAAAATAATGAAAATAAATAATGGCTAGAATGCTCTAAGTATTATATTCCTGCATGACTCAAGCTAAAAGTTGAATTTAGCAACCAAAAACATAGCTACATACACATAATTAGTACGACAAATTGAGATATGCTCAGTTTACAAAATTGGTTAACAGCATTTATTTCGTCATTAACACGGTACAGTAATCTAATGGTGAATGGTAGTTTGCTTAGAGAGAAATCCTCCCACAAAGACGCCAGAAAGCCTTATCATGGAAGAGAGATTTTTCAAATACCCAGATATCACGGACAAGGACCTACAGAGCGCAGTAAGCATATTAGCATCACAGAAAAGGGGGGAGGGGTAAGTCACAGAACATGAGAAAAAATTTAGTCAGCAACCCCATATTACAAAAGATATTAATGCATTTTACCTCCTTTGATTTATCTCCCGAAACAATGGAACCATTTGAGTCATATGCTTCGAACTTCTGCCAGAGAGAAAAAGGAAAAAGAAGTATTCTCAGTGGATGAAAGTTTTGAATTAAAAGCAGTAAGCTATGAACAGATAAAAGCGGTCCTCAGTTCAAGCAGACAGTGAAAGAAAGCACCATTGAAAGGATAACATGATAAAATGAGTCCTGAGTCCAGCCGCCCATATACCTGCTTTGTCAGAAACTCAAGTGTAAGCTGTATGAACACCTTCTCGAGATCGTTCCGATCAACACCAATCTGTAAAAGGGGGGAAAAGGCATTCCATATAAGACACCCGGTGTACTAAAATTTAAGGAAATATTCAATTGTTACAATTTTTCCTTGGTAAAGCATCCTAATTCAATTCTGTAAGAACAGGATGGAGTAACCTTCCTTGGTTAAGCACCCGGTGTAATAATATTTAAGGAAATATTTAGGGAAATATTCAATTTATACTCTAATTAGACAAGCAATTACCAGTCGTGCTCGCAAAGTTCGTATTTTCACAACTGGTTCCACCATTTCCCAGTAGACCTTATTCCATATGGAGTCTCTTTGTTTTATTTCATTCTTTAGTTCCTGTAAACAAAAAGATAATAAATAATGTCTCAGAACCTCAATAGCAATCCCTTTACATCAGAAAAAGCAGCATAACTACAGCAAAAACCGAAACTAAAAAGAACAGAAGCATACGGAAAACATTTTCTCTGTAACTGCTTTCCTTAAAGAATTTTTGTCCCCATTTGCCATTAGAGTATTTATCTGGAGAAGAAGGTGAATAAATTAGCTACAGGAAGAAGATCAGACAGTGCAGCTGAAAGAGGCAAGAGAAAATTGAAAGGCCAAAAAAAAAAACAGCTGGACTAGAACATAAGAAATTTTCATTTAAATTGGAAGTAAGAGTTAAAAGGGCACTACACTATTACAACTATTTATAAAATACAGAATGCATAAAACCTAGAGAGAAGAAACTACGTAGGAAAAGACAAAGATACCTCCTTATATAACTGTATCGCTTCTTTGTAGAATAAATTCTTTGAATAGCCCTTCTTTCTTAATTTAGTAATGGCATATGCACTTTTGAGCTGAAAATTGGAAAAACAGAAATATCTCAAACATAGATGTTGAATATTAAGCCTTAATTGACTGAATTATAAATATATAAACGTCTGCATTCTAAATTTAAAATGAATTACATTCCTCTAACACCAAGGCAACATAAATAAATTACAGCGGATGGCATCAGATAGCCATCCTAGTAGTAGTCTATGCATCAAACCAAAACATAAAAAGGAGTGGAATTTAGAATCAAAATATGGGGGACGGAGGACAGCCATGAAAGAACAGAAGAAAGAAGCTTCAACAGATTAACCAATGGCTTGAATCAATAAAACAAGATAGTTCTGTTTAAGCTGAATCTCTGAATCTTCACCTCTAAAACTATATCTTCTTTTGTTCTTCTCCACCCACTTCTGGTGAACCATCTGATACATAAAACATCAGATTGTTCATATACAAGGACAGGATATTATAGAACAAAAATATAAGTAATCAAGTCTTAACAGTTGTCCAGGGAAACTGAATCTGGGAGAGTTTCAATGATTACTAGTGAGTGACTCTTGTTAGAGTACTAGAGTTCCATCAGTATGCAGGCCTACTCTAATTACCACAATCTACAAGATCAATAAAATTCACTTTTGAAGTAACTAACCTCTTGAGAAATGAGATTTTTTCACGAGTTGTATAAGGCTCGTAGATAAACCCTGGACTCAACATGGCAACTTTAAGAGCTCCCTGCACATATCATAAGGCAACCACACATGGTATTATGGTTTGTCTTGCATACGAGCAGACTAAGAAAATTAGAATTCCATGGGCTGTTTTTTTATGAGCACAAGATGACAGATACAACTCTAACCTGTAAAAATGGATACTTCAGTAAAGCAGAAATGGAATATATTAACAAGAAGCAAAGCACTAACCACCAGCCACATAAACTGAACCGGAACAGTTACAGTATGAACAGTTGAGCAAAAAGATAGCATACCATTTGTCTTGCTTGTGCAGGGGCTTTTACTTGTGTTGATAGCAACCTTGTGTCATTCAAGAAGATGGGTAACTCAACAGCCTAAATTCAAAATAAAGAAATAATAAAAAGGGAAGCTCAATGAATTGCAACATTTACCAAGGGTTATAGATACATAATAAAAAAAATGAGCATGGGCATCCAACTGATTCAAGTTATAATTTTAGAAACTCACCATTGCAGACCGCAATGTGATAGAACTTCCGAGGGTCCAAGGAAGGGCTCCATGGCCCTTGTTCCGGCAATAAAGTTCAGGGACTGATGACAAAGAGAAGTATCTCAATTGCTAAAGAATTTAACGCAAACCCAATAAAGTAATGAGAAATTACTTCATGAATGCCTCTTGCAGAAATTTACCAGTTGAAATACCACTTGCATAGCTTCTTGAGCTTCCAAGCCTGAAAAGTTTTTAAAAATACCATATTTTAAAACTGGTTTTGCCGCATAAATACCAATTTCATTAATCAAAAGAATCATTTTCAATTCCCCTCCATTTTGCTTCCATTGTGTCATCTCAAGCTTTGAACAAAAAGTAAAATTTTCAATTCTCAGAGACCAAGCAGGGCATTAACCGATCATTTCTACTCACAGATGGGACGATTCTGAAATCTGAGCCGTACGATGGAGAGCTCGAATCTGGTGTACGCTTCTGAAAGCCATCATTAATCACAAATCTTCGAAACCCCAATTTGAGTTTCTATCAACAACATGGAGATCGACAATAGAGAGAGAGAGAGAGAGAGAGAGAGAGAGAGAGAGAGAGGTTTTGTGTTTTCATTAATAGGGTTTAAGGAGGAATTATACGGTGCTTCGCAGTGTACCAATATCATGGGTTGATCCCTTTTTCCCTTTTCAATAAATAAATAAAATTTTAAAATAAAAGATTGTTCTTTTTTTTTTTTTTACAGAGGAAATGAGTAAACTCCAATTTTTATTTTTATTTTTCAAATGAAGTTATATCTTATTTCTCATCATTTTTATTTATTTATTTATTTATTTCACTTAGAAAACATCATTAAGTCATTGGGCACCTCTGAGAAATTGGAGATAGTTTTGCTTCATCATACAATATGCTCATTTGCAACAGGCACAAGGAAGTTCAAGCACTTATATTGTGAGTAAATTGACTATAATACAATTTGAAAACTATTGGCATTTCTATTTCCAAATTTAAGAAAGAAAGGGGAGGAAACTTTGCTCAAATGTTCTAACTACAGCACCAGCCCCACTCTCTCACTTTACATACAGACAAGAACAACAAGCTCCTAATAAGTTTATTTGTGCATCAAAAAAATCAAAAAATAATTAGAATAATTACTTTTACTGTATATTTATTTAGCCTTTGATTTCAAGGAGTATGTTCTCCAGCTTCTGCTGCACCACTTGGTGAACCAGGAACAAATGGAACAAAACCCCGTCCACCGAACACCGGTCTCATGAACTTGTCATCAAATTTTCTCCACAAGTAGTGAGCAGTCGAAGTTGGATGAGTCATCAGCAGCCTTAAGCTACTTCCCTTTCTGGCTGGCTGGCTGTTGCCTTCCCCACTTGGCTCGCCTGGTTCCAGGAACAGTAACCTTAAGTCTTCTAGACTTGGGATATCAGTTGCATCTGAAGTGTTTGGTTTTGCATGTTGAAACAGCAGAGCCGAGATTAATGGCTTTGTTATGGAGCCAAAGACCTGTTTGGATTGCCAAAACCAATTTCAGTGACCAAGCACAAAATGGAGCTTGGTGCAATATAAGTAACAGAGACAGAAGCAGGCATACCACTGTGCTGAATAGAACAACAATTATGGTACTGGTGATCATCAAGGAGCTATCTCTTGTCGAAGTCGAACCGGTGCTGTCTGTAAACTGCATTAGTAGATTGTGGAAGTCAGAACTTGAGAAGAACCCAAATACATCTTGATATGTTAGGACTTGAAACATCATCAACTTACTTGGCTGTATGACAAAGCAATAGTGACTGCACCTCTCATTAGGCCTGCCCACCACATAATAAACTGGCATTTTCAAAAGAGTCAGTCAATT